TGTGATCTGTAGTGAGAGTAGGCAGCAGCTAGAAGAGAACCTAGAGAGGTGGAGGTTTGCACCAGAGAGAAGAGGATATGAAGGTCAGTCGTAGCAAGACAGAGTACGTGTGTAAACGAAAGGGAGAACAGTGAAATGGTGAGGTTACAAGGAACAGAGGTGGTGAAGGTGCAGGAATTTAAGTACTTAGGATCAACTGTTCAGAGCAGAGGAGACTGTGGAAGAGAGGTGAAGAATAGAGTACAGGCAGGATGGAACAGCTGGAGAAAAGTGTCAGGAGTGATCTGTGATAGAAGACTGTCAGCTAAGGTGAAGGGAAATGTTTACAGGACGGTGGTGAGACCAGACATGATGTATGGTTTAGAGACACTAGCAATAGGCAGAACACAGGAGAGATGCTAAGATTCTCTTTAGGAGTGACAAGGATGGACAGGATCAGGAATCAGGAAAAGTCATTAGAAGAACAACACAGACAGGAACGTTTGGAGAAAAAGCTAGAGAAGCCAGATTGAGATGGTTTGGACATGTGCAGAGGAGGGACAGTGGATACATTGGTAGAAGAATGCTAGAGATGGAGCTACCAGGTAGAAGACAAAGAGGAAGGCCAAATAGGAGATATATGGATGCAGTGAGGGAGGACATGCAGATAGTTGGAGTCAGAGTAGAAGATACAGAGAACAGGGAGAGATGGAAATCAATGATTTGCTGTGGCAACCCCTGAAAAAGGGACAAAGCCGAAAGAAAAAGAAGAAAAGAAGTATTGTACGACTACACCCAGTTTCAAAATGGTAATTCCTTCAATATTTAGTGCACAGCCCCAGTCCCTCCAGCTGACTACACCTAACAACTTTTCTTACTGAGACACAACTTCTACAATGTCTTTAGAAACCCAATTACGATGCAGTTTCAAAGGCACAATGAAATTAATGCACTACCATGAACTTATTCTTACACCGAACCCTGTAAGCTTACTATTTGAACACAGAAAAACAAATCTTCACTTTTAAAACTTCAGCTTTGTTAAACAGATATTAGAATCAAATATCAGCCACAGATATCAGCCACAAATATCAAACACAAATATCAGCCACAGATATCAGAGAGAAAAAAGCAAATTTTCACTTTTAAATCCTTAGCTCTGTTGAAATATATGTCACACTCACACACAAACATTTAGGCACTCTTTCAAACACACAGTCCTCGTCAGTTGAGTCAGGGGAAGAGAGAGAGGGAGGGTCGGGGAGACCAGTCAAATTTTTATATATATATATATATATATACTTATACCTTATACCACAGAGATACTTTAGACTTATACCACAGAATTTTACACTTCTGATATATTTTTTTCCACACTTTTCGTACCTTTTTTTCCAACATCGATTACAAGCCTTTTTCCACAGAGTAGTCAAATATTAATTGTTCTATCTCCAGCTATTTTAATAACGTTCTGGGGTGTCCCAGAGTTACAAACGTAGCACTTTTTGTCACCAATATTGCTTTACATGTTATATACACATACAACACACACACATACGTATATACAGTGATTATATGTCGTTATACAAGTGTGCATAAGCTATATGACCCCTATACTTCTCTTTTGCCGACTGGAATAACCTTTATGTGAGCCTTACTTACCTCTGAGTTGCCAGTGCTGCGTTTTTGTTTTACTCGTGTGTGTGTGTGTATTTCTCTCACTTTTTCCTTGGCTCCAGAAGGTCTTGCATAAATTCTAGTGAATTTCCTTTTCACGTATTATCATAAAAGGGTTGCCCCTGTAGTCCCAAAGGTGATAAGCCTAAATTTGTACTGTCAACATGTACACGTGTCCTACATAGCTTTTGCATACTAAAGCAGGCGCTGCTATATGCGTCGATTCCAACCTTGGAAGACCCAATCCCAGTTCGGCTTTTAATTCACCACGTGTTTTTTTTATCTCTCATCTCTTTTACACTGCCTTTGGCGAGCCTGCTCACACACACTCACCATTGTGTTATATCTAATTTTCACACATCACTCTGTCCAGTCAGACACTACTGCAATATACAGTCTACTACTGCAATCTACAGTCAAAGCCTACTGAGAGTTTTCCATTCTGGACAGTTTTCAAAGCTGCTGCCTAATCCAATGTTTCAAATTCTATACAAGTACACAGCGCAATGTTTATATTAATTTAGCAGCTGCATGCAGAGTCTAACGAGCTGGTGAGAGCCACGTCCCTACTGCCTTTTGTTCAATTTTGGCAAGGATCTCAGTGCTTACCAGGTGAGGCCGGACGCAAGCAATGGACAAGCATGTGCATTAATAGGAGGAACAGTTCCTACCTGGTGTGCACGTTGCACAGCCGGTCCAGTGGAGGAGCCCAGCCACCCCGGTCCGCAGGCCCAAGCGATCACGTCGGGGTCACCATTTGTATTGTAGAAAGAGATGTCTGCAAATGAGGCAGACCAGGACACACTTCTCAGTCTTGGGGGATTTATTAAAGGTTTCTGACCATGGCAGGTCCAACAACTTATCTCATCTGAACATTCACTAACAAATCCCCCTTCTGATACATGCTAATCCTTCTTATAGGCATGGACAAACATGGTATTACATAATATTTGGCTCACATTTGGCTAGTTACCGGATAAACATGTTCATTTACCCAGGTCAGCTTGACCTGTTCTTGCCTGTGCCTATCTCCTGTCTCTCCTGTTATTCTTGTTGGCCCTTACATATTATTTTACTATATTTCTCCACCACAATATTGGCTCTGCTGAGGCAGCGGGAGGTGTCCATATAAATATCCATCCAGGTTGTTCTCCGAAGACCAGATTTAGGAGCTCCTCCCTGTAGGCCACCTCATCACCCCTGGAGATGAGTCCGACCACTGTAATATCATCAGCAAACTTGATGATGATGTTGTCGCTGTGGGCCGGACTGCAGTCGTGAGTGTAGAGACAGTACAGGAGGGGGCTCAGCACACAGCCTTGTGGGGAGCTGACACTCAGTGTGTGGGTGGGGGAGAGGTGGGAACCCAGTCTCACAGTATGGGGACGGTTAGTGAGGAAGTCTTTTATCCAGGAGGCCGAGACTGTCCAGTTTTTTGCAGAGTCTGTCCAGGATTATAGTATTAAAGGCGGAACTGTAATCCATAAAGAGCATCCGGACGTAGCTCTGCTGCTGATCCAGGTGGTTCAGCGCAGAGCGGAGAGCTACGGCAATGGCGTCCTCCGTGGATCTGTTTGCAACTGGTGGGATTCAAGGTTTGGGGGGAGATGGTCCTTGTAGTGCTGGAGAACTAGTCTCTCAAAGCACTTCATGATTACCAGAGTGAGGGCCACCAGTCGGTATTCGTTCAGGCTGGTGATTGGGGACTTCTTCAATACCGGGAATTATTGTGGTTGATTTTAGGCAGGGTGGGGTGATTGCCTGGGCCAGGGATAAGATGAAGATCCTGGTAAAGGTGGGGGCGAGCTGGTGGGCACATGCTCTGAGCACCTTACCAGGTACTCCGTCTGGGCCGGCAGCCTTCTTGGGGTTCACTGCCAGGAGCACCCATCTGACTTAATGCTCCTGTACA